TCTATCCATCCATTCATTCATATATCTCATTCACTTTTTCCTCCCTCTCTCTTTCTTTCTTTCTTTCTTTCTTTCTTTCTTTCTTTCTTTCTTTCTTTCTTTCTTTCTTTCTTTCTTTCTTTCCTTCTTTCTTTCTTTCTTTCTCCCCCTTTCTTCCATCCCATTTTTCTTTGTCTATCCCTTTTCTTCCTTTCTCTCTTTTTCTTCCTTTCTCTTTTCTCTTGCTTTTCTTTCTTCTCTGTTCTCTCTCTCTCTTTTTCCCTCTCTTTCTGTCTTGTCTCTCTTCCTCTCTCTCTCTCTCTTTCCCTCCCTCTCTCTTTTCCCCTCTCTTTCTATCTCTTCCCTTCCTCCTTCCCTCTCTCCTTCTAAAGCTAGGAGAGGAGACTCACCTGAAACAAGCACACATGCTTCCAAGCACCCGGCTGTGTTGCTTGTTATGAGGGTTCTTCCTGGCCAGTCTCCAGGCAGGCAAGGCTTCCGGGTCCAACAAAGGGGTCTTGGGCGGGACTTCCTCTCCTCCCACTTTTGGGGAAAGTTAAGGGCTGGGAAAATAAAGCTAGGAGAGGAGACCCACCTGAAACAAACAAACGCACACACACACACACACACACACATGCTTCTAAGTGCCCGGCAGCGTCACTCATTACAAGGGTTCTTCCCGGCCAGTCTCCAATCCCACGTTGCCCCAAAAAGCTAGTAGCCAAGGCTTCCGGGTCCAACAAAGGGGCGGCAGGCAGGACTTCTTCCCCTCCTGCTTTTGGGGCTGGGAAATTCAAGCGAGGTGTGTACTGCAGTCTCGCCCGCTCCACCTCCCCCACTGGCAGCTCTGGGCTAGGCAGCTTTCCCAACTGCCTGAAATCTTACTTTCCTTCCTCCCGCACTGAAAAAAGCACGCAGCGGCTATAGGCTTCTTTGCTGCGCTGACCACGCAGGTTCACCACATTGAGCCTGCTGCACTGAAGGGACTTGCCCAAGCAAGTCTGAGCGCAGTGGTGCAGCACTCCAAAAGAGGCAGCTGGAGGTGACTTTTTTTCAGTCTCCAGCCGCCCCTTTTTCAGCGCAACTGGCCGGCTACTCCCCTCCTTCTCTGCCTGTCTGTTCTCTATGGCCGAGGAGCAGGAGGAGAGCAGCCATCGGGTTGGGGGAGGCTTTTTGCACTGAAAAAGGGGCAGCTGGACATGTGGCCACCTACTGGCTGGCTGGCTGGTCCGGGCCAGGCCAGGCTGGAAGAGGTGTGTCTGCCAGGAGAAGGAAGAAAGCATGCTCTGGGAGGGCGGGCAGCTGGGCTGATGTCATGTGGCCACTGCACATGCGCACTGCCGCAGGACATCCGCCTGAGCTGCACCATGGCCACCACGTGGTAGGGAAAGTTAGGAAAGTGACTGGGGCAAATGAACTGGCGACCAGGCGACCGGGTGGGGAGCATGGCCAGCAAGTGTTCACCATCGGTTCAGCGACCCATGCCAAATCAGTGCTACCGGTTCACCCGAGCCGGTACGAACCGGTTGAATACCATCTCTGAACGTTATCCAGTTCCTGTTGTCTTCTGAAACAACTAAGGATACCTTCAATCAGAAGACCATTTCCAGTGTAGCACAACATTTTATCTACTTGGTGTTGATGTCTTAGCTCTGAAAACCCCAAAATATGCTTATAATCTTTGTTATTCCAGATGAAAATCTGGTGTAACTAAACTGATTACAGAGAATCAGTTTTCCTCTTGGCACAAATAGTAGGTCAGTGTAGGCAGCTGCTGTTTGATGGCACAGAGCCTACACACAAGTTGGTCAATTCTTAAGCAGCAGTAAAGGTGCCAGTAGCTTTGATATCAAAATTGCTCTCGTCTATAGATCCCAAACTCTATTAATGGAGGCACTAAACTGTAGGCATGTAAACCTAATGTACTGACATATTCCTGACACGGGTGTTCCAGGACAGGCCTTCAGACAAAGACATTTGAATTGTACTTTTCAAATATTTATCATTTTATGCATAGCCTATGCTTGTGATATGACAATTTCCTGGCATTCTGATTCTATTGTAAGGAGCTAAATGTACCAGGGCTTGAATTTAGAATCAACAACATATCTACAGTAGATTTAGAATTAACACATCTAATGGGTTTTCTTATTTTTGTTGTTATAGAAATGAAATTTATTTATTTAAATAAATGTCAGTGCTGATTTCTCTTTATCTTACTTTGGGGAATCTTTGTTTCATCAAATGCTAGTATTCTTTTTAAACCTGCACTAAATGTTATACATACTTGAATATATATTTCTACAATCCTATGCAATGTACATATTTGTGCATATTTGAATGCACTGAATGTACAATACTTGAAACTTTACATTATTTGTTTTAATCCATTTTTGAACATTACTTTAATGAATATGTACAGATTTATTATTTTCCTAAAAATAATTTTTCCTACTTTTTTTAAATGGACAAACTATATTGAAAAATATGCAAAAGTGCAGATTTTGAATAGGAAGGTTACAATTCAATATTGATTGGAAAACATGAAGTTAGCTCAATTTTCATTCAAGTGGGAATAAATACATTTTCTCTGCCATTCTTATTTGAAACTAGCTTCTCAGACAATAAAAGAAGAGTTACTTTGTTGATGATCAGGGAAGATATTTTGATTTTTCAACACAGTTTTGGCAGTGTTAAATTGGTCAAATCTACTGTATAACTAAAAACCGAGAATTAAATGTTTATGACACAGTTCCATGAATTTTATTTCGAACAGTCAGAAGGCAACCGAACAATATGAAACTATAGCTAAATAAAACATTTAATAAAATGTTAGAAAAAAAATATTTAGTAATTTACTAAAATTATTGGGGAGCGCTGTGGCTCAGCACTTAAGACGTTGTACTTGTTGGCTGGAAAGGCAGCAGTGTCAACTCAAGCTTGGCTCATGGCTCATTATTTAATTGGGGCAATCTCTGGAACCCTGACAGACAGCTCAGGTTTAAGACCTGAGCACCAGGCGATGGAGTTAAGTGCCAAACTAGCAGTTTGAAAACATGCAAATGTGGGTAGATAAATAGATGCCACTTTGGTAGGAAGGTAACATTGCTCCATGGCATCATGCTAGCCACATGACTATGGAAATGTCTTTGGATAGTGCTGGCTCAATGGCCTTGAAACGGAGATGTGCACCGCACCCTGTAGTTGGTAACGTCTAGTAGAGTAAAATCCACAGGAACTCCTTTACCTTTACTAAAATTATTAGTAAAACGTAGAAACCATGGTAGCCTGTTTGTAGTGTTTCTAGAGTTGAATTTTGAACTTTGTGCCTTTTCAGAGGTTTGAAACGTGCTGCAAGAGCCATTCGATCAGAAATTGGAACTTACATTTTTCTCATAGATAGCAAGAGACAAGCTCTTCAGTAAAGGTGTCTGTTTCATTTCAGTAGATGGTGCCACAAGAACACATGCTGAAGGATGCCTTGCCTCTTTTTGCCAGATTCATCATCAGCAATGGGCTGAGAACTAAACATGGAGAATTTGAGATCCTCCTGGAGACAGTGGACCAAGCTTTACCCAGCGTGGTCAAAAACAAGGGCCTGAGACTGTTTGAAGGCAGCACGGCGCTTCTTTCTGCAGATATTCTCCAACTTTCAGACCCAGATACGCCGCCACAAAATCTTTCTTTTCTCCTAACACAGTTCCCTCAATACGGTCAACTCTATAACAGGGAAACTGGATTATGGCAGCAAAACTTCAGCCAACAAGATGTGGACAATCTGAATGTAGCCTATAGACACGGAGGAGGTGGTTCTCAGATGGACAGGTTTTCATTCATGGCAACAGATGGAGTAAATCAAGGATTTCTTGTAAACAACAGGCTACAAGTAGACCCCTTGCCATTTATTATTCAGGCAAGTTCTACATAAATGTCTACATTTGTGTATACAAACTTAATTCAATACACAGGAAGTGCGCAAACATAAGATTTTTGCAATATTTTATTTAATAATGTTATAATGCAGCCTGAAGCAGTCAAGGGACACCAAGACTGAGTATGCTTATGTTTAAAATAGAACAAAATTCATTTCAATATGTTTTCTCTGCAATGCATGCAGATGTTTTCAGGACCTTCAAATATAGTTTGGATTACAAGTGCCTGGCTCCCTATATGATATTAAGTCCAATCCACAGTGTGGATGTTGATTTTGATTATACAAGTGTTCAGTTTCACAAGGTAAACATTACATATTATTTTCATTACAGTCTAATCTTTGACCAGTAATAGAAATTATTATTTTTTCTTACAGGTCGATAGCCCAGCAAACACAGCCCCAGAAATTGTTCATCTTCATACAATTTCAGATGTGGAACTTTTGCACAATGGCAACTATGGACTTTACATTACAACGCGGTCCTTGAAAGCATCAGATTGTGATACTGAAGATGATCAAATGGTTTTTAAAATTTTGCGAGGTCCTCAGTATGGTTACTTGCAAAATATAACAACAGGTATTGTGTCCTAATAACCTTGTGTCCTAACCTGTTGTAGGCGACATACCTTATGGGTGTTACCGATTATGTTTCATTAAGGATGTAATATTTTTTTAAAAAAATTATCCCATCTTTATTTTTATATATAAACAACTCAAGGTGGCAAACATACTGTCAGTGTTCCAGCAAACCTCCATTCCAATCAGTAACTCTGAGACAAGGATAATCTCAAAAGCACCTTTATTAGAATAGCACCTGGCACATCTGTGGAATCTCAAAACTAAAAGTTTCCTGGACTCCCCACAATGTCCCAAACTACAACCCATCCCTCTTTTACCATCATCACATCCCATGTACCAATCACGATCTGTTCCAGTATAAGATCCTTTTTCCATCTTGAGCCACACTTAATAACCTTGAACTACCAAAAGAATTTTATTTTGTCTACTTAGAACTACTCAATTGAAATCATCCCCCTCCCACTTTCTCAGGCTATGTGGCAATGTGGAATATGGCTTCCAAAGCTGACACGTACACACTGCTCCTTTTTCATTCCCACAATAACAATTCTAGAAGGTGTGTGCAGGCCTGCGAGAGAAGGCCTGGCCCAAAGTCACCCAACCATCTTTCATGCCTAAAGTGGGACCAGAACTCACAGTCTCCTGGTTTCCAGCCTGGTACCTTAACCACTGGACCTAACTCAAAACTTATTCCTTCCCAGAAGGTGAACATTATTTCCCTTCCCAGAAGGGTAATCTTACTGTGACTAATTAAAAATCATTTCATCGTTCTTCCAGTTCTTTTTACATAAGCAATGTATTGTGAGAAGAAGAAAGACAGAGGAAGGCTGGGAAAAGTCAGAATTTGAGGATTGCTTCTTGGATGCCAATAACATTCTTTGAATGAGTTGTAATATCACCACAAAAGCCAAGTCTGGGAATGCTCATTGCAGATTTATTATGGAATATGAAAAAAATTAAACAACTGTCAGTAAAATATAGTTGAGATTCCACAGAAACATAGAGCTCCAAGTTGTGTATCTATTTAGATTTTTAAAAATAATTGGTGGGCTTTTTTTTCTCTATGGCTCTGTCCAATTTTGTAAACTGATGACATGTCTTATAAACTAGAACCAATTTCCTCTACATCAGGAGTGTCAAACGCATGTCGTCACATCTGCGTCATGTAATGCAGGGGTCCCCAACCACTGGGCCGTGGACCGGTACCGGTCCATGGAACATTTCCTACCGGGCCGCCGGTTTGCTGGGTGCCGCCATCTTGTTTGACGAGAAAGTGCTTCCGGGTGAGCTTTTCCGGTTGGAAAGCGGCGGTTGGGTCCTGAAGGAATCCTCGCACCTTAGTTTCATCGAAGGGGGGGGGGGCTTCGAACGAAACTAAGGCGCGAGGATTCTTTCAGCACCCAAGGCAAGGTGAGCCGAGCAACCGTCCTGAAGCCATCCCGAAGCGAAGCCCATCGACAAAGGTACAAAGGAGGAGTTGAAGGTGGCCACTGATGTAATGTATCAGGACTTTTCCCCCCTTCACTAAACTTGGTGTGAGCATGGCCACCATATGATGTATCCAGCTCGCGGGCTGCAAGTTTAACAGCCCTGATTTACACGCTTGATTTTCCCCATTGATTCTTCCAGTCCCCTTTTCCGTTCCATATTTGTTGTTCATGTTTACTGGAAAGAATCTCCTTCAACAGCAGCAGTGGTGGCAGCACTAGCAATGGGATTGGTGGACATAACAGTAGAAGCAAAGAGGAAAATCTGGGAAGGCAGGACAGATTTGGTCATAACAGTTCCTACTTCTGCCAGGCTGAGCAGTCATAGGGTTCCTGCCTCTCTGGGCTCTCTACAGAAGTGGCTTTGGGGAAACTTTGGTCAATTCCTTGGAAACTATTTTGAGAGGTCTTGCAAGAGTCCATCTACAGGTAGTCCTCAGTTAAAGACTAACAGCAACAGTTCAAAGTTTATGGCAATGCCAAACGAGCAGTACTTATAACTGCTCCTCAAACATCTGCCCATTCCAGCATCCCAGCAATTAACATGCTCATCATCCAGATGATCAGCAACCAGATTGCACATACGATGGTTGTAGTGTCCTGTGATCATGCGGTTGCCATTTGTGACTTTCTTTGCCAGCCTCTCACAAGCGAAGTTAATGGAGAGAAAGCAGAGAAGGCTGAGCGACACTCCTGTAAGTTGCTCCTGTTCCCATTGTTTGTGTATCCTCCCACCTCCAGCATCAGCCACCCCAGTCTGGCTATGCTTGTACTGGGCTGTAGCAGCCTTTTATACACCCTACCACTCCATTCCTGCTCTGGCAGTGGTCTTGCTAGTGTGAGACAGATGTTTTCATGCCCTCCTGCCTTTCAGAGCACCCTTGTGCCGGGTTACGGCCACAGCTTGCGTGCCCTCTCATCCTTTGGAGTGCTGATCCTGCATCTGATACTCTTCTGGTTCACCCTAGCAAACACGTACCTGCCCACCAGCCTGGGACTTGCAACTTCCTCCTGGCTTCCCTCTTGACTTTGCTTGTAGAAAATCATGAGGGGGTCCATGCTTAATGACTCAGCATCCTCAATTAATGACAGCAATAGGGACTGCTGTTATGGAGCAATGGGGTCACATGATGTCATGCTTTTTTTTTTTTGAAAACAGTTTTATTAATTTTAACAACAAACAAAAACACGTAAAACCTAAAAATATCATCCTTTCCTTCATGAGTTTACAGACAGTGTATCGGTTGGTTTATCACTTTTTTTTTGTGCATCCATTTCATAGTCTCCATTGTAGTTATATTGCATAATAGCTCATATTATCAATCAACAATTATATAGCCTGATATCATTATTAAACAATCATTTGACTATAATTTTATTAATTCATACTTTAGCAAGATAACTATAGTTTACTTAATTTATTTTATAGCAAATCATAAAGTCATAGCAAGTCTATCTTAATAAAATTTTATAAAGATAATATCATAGAGAAAAAGAAAATATGTATTCATTGTTTCCTAAGGTTCTAAATATTCTATTATTATATTTTATTATCTAACCATTGATACATGATGTCATGCTTTATGACTGCATGGCTTAGCAATGGGAACTCCAATTACCATCATGAACTAAGGACTGCCTGTATTCCCAAACATCTATATGAATTTGCTGGAATGGATCCATTTATAAATTTGAATTAATTATCACAAAGTTGGATGATGGCTGTGTACAGGATTAAACGTGCTACCATTTTTCTCTGTGCTGGAGGAAACAAAACGTGAAGTGAATTGTACCACTGCATATATAGAGACTTTATCAGGAGATTATGATTTTTTTGGGTGTTTTGAGACAAAACATCTAGGCTAATACCTTCCAATTTGAAAGAAGTAATTGAAAAACTGATCAAACCATTTAAGCTAGGGCTGTCAAACTCGATTTCATTGAGGAGCGCATTATGGTTGTGTTTGACCTCTGGAGGCTGAGTGGGCGTAGCCAGGTGAGCATGGCCAGCTCGACATCACTCATATTGGGGCACCTGTGGTGGCCCGGGGTGGGCTGGGGGATCCATTTTTGCCAGCGGAAAACTGCAGTAGGCTGTCGCGGCTGAACACGGAGCCAGGGAGGGCATGCACAACCCTCCTCAGCTACATTTTCACTGGCAGAGGCACTGCAGGCCAGTGCTTTGCTGTTTCCAAGGTGGCCCCATGGCCAGATCAAAGCATCCCACGGGCCAGATCTGTCCACCCCGGGTCTTGAGTTTGATGCCCCTGATTTAAGCCAGTTGTCAGGGCTCCAACAAATCCACCCTCATTCAAATCAAAAATCTCTAGCCGCATCTCAGAGAAAAGAAAATTGATTTATTCGAGGTAGCCATGTTGGCGCATGGCTGGGTGCAGCCGATACTAAATTACATCATACATTTCCCCCTTGACCCTGGTCTTCCCCCCACTCCCTGGATGTGACTTCTCCAATAGGACACATCAGTCTCCAAGAGTCATCCATCATGCTCTCCAATAACCTTCTTATGCTCCGACAACTTTGGGCTGCTGAGTTGATTATCTAGGCATTTCAAGAATGCCTTGTTTTCCCCCGCTCTCTTTTTCTGGCAGCTAAAAAGACCAAAGGTGAATCTTTTTAGTTGACACCATTATTTTCTACCATTGACATTGAATTAACAACATCTCTCCCATGAATTGTACTTCCTTCTTGATACATTGGTAGCCACACCACTTTTTTCAATGATTTTTCTATTACCTAAACAAATAACAGTTGTTATCTCTAAAAATTGACTGCATCAGGGTTGTTCAAACTATGGAAGACTATATTCTGTAAGTGACGGGGGATGGGAGCTATTTTTTAAATCAGTACACTTTAGTCTTTTGATCATGGTTTCTGGGATTCGTTTTGATTTTTGTCTTTTAACTAGCAATTTCCACAGCTTGAAAATGTTCGAAAACCCCTGGTCTAGATAAACATGGGCACAACTGTTTTTAAAGAACATTTTGATTTTTCTATATTTTCTTTATTTTATTAGGAGAAATTATTCAAGAGCAATTCAGCCAGAAAGATTTAAATCGCAAAATAATATTTTATGTCATTGATCCTTACTGGGAGGAGAATTCAGATGATCTGGAATTTCAGGTTGTGGATCCTGAGGGACATTCTGCTCTCCCCCAAATGTAAGTTAAGATTTCCTTTCTCTAAATGCTTACATCATTCCCAATAATTGCTGCTTGCTTCCTTAAGACAGTTCCTGTATGAACAGCTTTGAAACTAAACTCATGGAATTGCTGGGCCTTATGGATTTATACTGCAAAATCTACTATCAAAGCAATGCCATTTTTTTTATAAAAAAAAAGTGTTGTCGTTTCATTGAAAGAAAGCTTTTTGTCCAGGAAATTGCTGTCATGTTGACTCTTAAATGATAGTCATACTTCAAATCCATTTAGATTTCACAGTGCACCCATATGCTTTGCCAGAGTTTACCTACTGCATTAAGGCATAATGTTGTTAACTTGGTTTGGTTTAATGCAATATGAACCTAGCAGTTGGGTTTATGGCTTAATGGGATATACCGTATTTCTCTGAAAACAAGACCCTGTCTTATAATTCTTTTGCCACCAAAAAAGGCACCAGGTCTTATTTTCGGGGGATGTCATCCACTGACTAACCTCACTTGCACGTGTCACCCCTGGCCTCCTTTTCACTGTCAAGAGGCCTTCAGGAACTTCTGCTGCTGCCAACAAGGCTTTCTTGAAGGCCTGTGCAGCCGATAACAGAGCTCCAGATCGATCCGGAGCTTTGTTATCAGCTACAGAGGCCTTCAAGAAATTCTTGCCAGCTGTGCTGGCTGCAGAAGAAATGGGCCAGCAAGGCAGGTATTGAGGTATGCGAGGCCTGGCTACAACTGTCCAAAGGTAAGTAGTAGGGCAGCTCCACCCTCCATCTCCACCCTAGCTTAATTTTTACCTGTGCACTCTAGGGGAGGCGAGATCTTAATTTTGGGGGTAGAGCTTATATTGGGTGCATGTGTAAAAATCAAGCTAGGACTTACTTTCAGGGTAGGTTGTACTTTCAGGGAAACAGGGTCTGAACTTAATCATTATCCTTAGACATAAAGTTAGGCAAAATTAAGAAATTGCCTTGTTCAAGATCTCCTGGTAGAGGTAAATTCCTCTGAGAAATTCCTATCGCACAGCTAAATGTGTATCTGCCCTGCTAGGTGGCCCCAAATGATGAGTATGGACCACCAACAGCTTCTGGGTTGGCAGGAATAAATATTGCTTTCTATTCACTTCCTGCCTACTGAGAATGAGACATCCACCTGTACTTTCCTGGTCCGAGTTGAAAGCAGAGTTTTCCAGCTTACGCCCCTCAAGTATTGTTCTTCAATTTGTCTCCTGTGTTTTGTTATAGACCAGGGATCTCCAACCTTGGCTACTTTGAAGCCTGATGGACTTCAACTCCCAGAATTCCCTAGCTTGGCTAAGGAATTCTGGGAGTTGAAGTCCGCCAGGCTTAAAGTAGCCAAGGTTGGAGATCCGTTATAGACAACCCTTGGCATTTTGATTGGCTACAGCATAAAGACAGAAATGCACTCCTTGAACCTTATTTTCCCAGTTTTTCTTCAGGAAATTCTGCTGCGGCTTCTGTGTTGCAAATTCTCCTGAGTGGCATAGAGGCTCCTCTTTCTTCAACGCTTATGGAAGTGTGTGTGTGTGTGTGTGTCCGTCCTTTTCTCCTCAATCTTAAGAGCTTTCAGGACAATTCATTGCTTGAACTCAAAGCAATCATCTCTTTCTCTCATAAATATGCATTGAACTGGGGAAAAGCCAGGGGTGGGATTCTACAGGTTCGCACCTATTCGCTAGAACCAGTTGTTAACATTCTAAGCAATTCGGAGAACCGGTTGTTAGAAGAAATTACTGGCCTAATCCTGTAAGGAAGGCAGGAAGGAAACATTCTGGTGTTGCTTTCAGAAACTGCCTCTTCGTTAACCCTTATTACATTCTTGGCAGGACTAAACTTCCTGTCTCTGGAACTTCTTTGGAGTTTTTTTCCCCTCCTGTGCTGGTACTTTGCTTGTGTGGAGTGACCATTCAAAGTTGCAATGGCACTGAAATAAGTGACTTATGACCATTTTGCACACTTTCGACTGTTGCAGCATCCCCACAGTCATGAGAGGCCAAGCGAGGAGATGCATGCCTCGATGTGAGTGATATTGAGTTGGCCACGCCCAGCCAATAACATGACCACCAAACCATGTCCACCAGTCACATGACCGTCAAGCCACGCCCACCACCTCAGCCATGCCCACAAAACCGGTTGTTAAAAAATTTGAATCACACCCCTGGGAAAAGCACACACATTTTTTTCAGTCTGTTTTCTCAGTGAAGGATTGACAAGCATTGTGCTCATTGTAACAGCAGGACAGCACAACATTCACGAGAACATTGATAAAAAGCGTTTCTACTTGTGAGGGGAAAATTTTGCTGTAAATTATGCATCAAAGTAAACTTCCATTTGGGAATGGAGAAAGCTACCTTTTGATATGCTTTTCTGACAGCTAGAGGTCACTCTAGTTCTGGGATATTAACATGTCGCAAATCTATGCAACAACCCTGAGTAAGATTTTTCAAAATGACAAGAGGGGAAATTATATTTTGAAAGCTTTCCCACCAGACCTGACCTTTTTCTCAACAGTGTTTCAATAACAGCTGTCAGCACATGCTTCGTCTTTTATCTAGCACTAAAATCTGCATACCACACAAAATGATGCCTCCGAAGGTAGAAACAGTATATTTTGGAAATTTACCAGTGATATTTGAAGATGCCCCATTTGCATTCTTCTATTTACAGCAGCAGTGATAGACAATAGGTAGCCCTCTAATGTTGTTCGAATCTATAGCTCACTTCACTGAATGCACAGAGGGACTAACCGGATGTCGCTGTTTTAGCTGTTCCGTGCATCTGATAAAGCAAGCGGTAGTATTTCACAAAGCCTACACTTTTTCAATGAAAAGTATCAGACTCTTTTAAAAATCCTGCCTAGTATGAGAAAAGCTCTGTAGGGTGTTACTTTTAATATAATTGGCTCACATTCCCTGAAGGGGCAAAATAGGTGGTTTTAATTTAAACCTCTCTGCTGTGTATTTTCTTGCTATTTTGGTTTTGAGTGCAAAAAGGAACACCATGGAATGATAACAGTTGTTTCAGTGCTGTTATATTTCTTTTCCAGCATTCATTATATTTATTTTTAAATAGGAAGTTCTGTGGTACTTTCCCACCGAATTTCTGAAATCCTCCAATTTGCTAGATATAGAATAAACAAGTGATTCAGGTAGCAGCCTTAATATGAGATGTTTATTTATTTTTTTGCTTATTTATTTTCTTCCTGTAACCACATTGAGACTTCACAGTGACAGTTGTCCAGTGCAAATGCCTATGGAGATTCTCAGTCACCCACATCATGGTTGTCCCAAAGATGCTTTTTTTTAAAAAAAAAAACAAAACAGAATTATAGTTGTTCTTGCAGAACTGCGGGTATTATGAAATGAAATTATAGATGGCAACGGAAGGAGCATTGTTTTGTAACTTTAAAAAAGAAAAATGAAACTCACTGAGCAGTGGTGGGATTCAAAAATTTTTACTACTGGTTCTGTGGGTGTGGCTTGGTGGGTTTGGCGTCACTTGGTGGGCATGGCTTTGTGGGCATGGCAGGGGAAGAATTCTGTAAAATCTCCATTCTCTCACCACTTCTGGGGGAAGGTTTCCACCAGTTCTCCGAACTACTCAAAATTTCTGCTACCGGTTCTCCAGAACTGGTCAGAACCTGCTGAATATTACCTCTGTCGCTGAGCACACCCTATTCCTCTGCTCCACCTTACTGGATTTTTATTACACCTTTATTACTTTATAAGTAATTCAAGGCAGTGAACATACCATAAAGCTCCTTCTTCCTACTTTTCCCCATGACAACAAGTCTGTGCTGTGGGTTGGGCTGAAAGTGGGTGACTGGCCCAAAATCACCTACCTGGCTTTCATGCCTAAGGTGGGACTAGAATTCACAGGGTCCTAGTTTTCTAGACCAGGGGTGTCAAACTTGATTTCATTGAGGGCCGCATCAGGGTTCTGTTTGATCTCGGGAGGGGGGCTAGTGTATATGTGGCCAGAGTGGGTGTGGCTAGCTCGACGTCACTCATGTCGGGGGTGCCTGTGGTGGCCTGAGTGTTCTGTCAGAGAAAACGGGCTCCCAAGCTCCTTTTCAGTTGCGATGGCCTCCTGCAACCCTCTGCCAGCAAAAAATGGAGCTCAGGGGGGGCTGCACACAGCCCTCCTGAGCTCCGTTTTCATTGGCAGAGGCAACGTGGGCCTGTCCTTCGCTGTTTCCAGGGCGGCCCCGCAGGCCAGATCTAAGCACCCTGTGGGCCGAATCTGGCCCACAGGGCTTGAGTTTGATACCCCATCACCTTTACCACTATACCAAACTGTCTTTTCATTTTGCTCTGTACCTTCGCCTGTTTGTCTTTTTCCCATATCTGTCAAAATAACACCCGATTAGGGGATGCCATCTAGCTTGTTCCTATGTCATACTATATAAACTTGAAAGCCAGAGATCAAATCATTTCTATTTGCATGTGCATTAAACCAGTAATACGAAAATCTTAGAAACAGCTGTCATCAGTCCATGCAAAAGCTCTTTTGCTTTCACACATAAGTGTGATCCAGGTATAAAACTACAGATAAAAACACAAGCAAGGCTTAATTTTGATCAGATCAACTTGCCTCTTTTAAAATAACTCTTCTCTTTAAAACAGTGACAGCTAGAAAAATTTCCAAAAAATTTGAAAAGAAATTTCATTTTAATATATACCGATTAGTGTCCATTCAAAGTGACAATAAAGTTAGCCTAAGTCTAAAATAAATTTCCATTAACAAAGAGACAAATCAGAGATTCTTTGGGATTTTTATGAGATTTCCTTGTTATGTTTTGTTCCTCTCTTTTTCAATAGGTTAGAACTAAAATGGTCTAAAATTGAACTGCAGCAAGATATGTATGAAATGTGTGAAAAGGAGGAGATGCTATCTTTAAAAATCACCCGATCAGGATTCATGGGAGATTCTGCTTTTGTGACAGTGAAGGTAATTCATCACAAAGGATAATTATATTTATGGCTTCCAAATTAAGAACATGCAAATTTAGAATATGTCTGCTGGGTGGAGTATTCTGGGAGTTGAGGTCCAAAAATACCAACTTTTACATTCATGCATCAGTTATTAGTGCTATATCCTCTTTCCTAATTTGCTTCTAACATCTATTGAATTTGCCATAAAATTCTTCAATGCCTTTTTTGTTGAATTGGAATAACTAAAGATATTTGTATAACATAGATGTTCATGGAAATCCACTCATTCTAATGTATATTATCATGATTGGATTGTAGCCAAGCACATACTAGCAACCCTCTTTTGTAGTTTATTACTATCACGTATACATGGTAAAATCTGATTTAAAGTGCTCATTCTAGACCTGTGCACTTATTCCTAAAACATCCAATATATTACATTTCAGATGCATGTTGATGATTTTAATACTGCTATCATCAGTGACTAGATTTCCTTGTGGCTTTTATGTGTTCATTTTTTCTCCTCCTTTAACCTGAGACTCTCATCTTCAGTCATACCCATATAGTTCGTATCTATTTCTGCATAATGCAGAAGTGCTTCACCTTTGCTTCATCTACATTTAAGTTTCATGTTCTTTGTGTCAGGAAATGTAATGCCTCTCATCTGCCTCATATTCCTTTGTATATTACTCTTAGATTCCCCACTTCTCTTTTAACATTAAAAAGAGTGACCCTATCACAACCCACTGCTTCTGATTGCATTTGTGTTAGGATCACTGAAGTAACTCGCTGCTCCCACTGCATCAAGGTGTTCATTTCTTGGGAGTGTAATAGAGTCTATTAACCAAATTGCAATACAAAACCTACATCTTGTGTATGTGCATCCAAAGGAATATGCATATGATGATTGCATGGCCACAATTGCTCTTTGAACGTCTTTAAATTCCACCGCGCACACAACTTTTTTGAATTCCACCACACACACAAGTGTTCTGTCTCACCTTTCTTCTTTCCAAAAGATGAAAGAGTGCAAACTCACACAAACACAGGCAGGCAAGCTGTCTCGGACTTCACCGAGTTAATTCTTTGGAACTGATAATGTCCTTGGCATTCCAACACGCTCTGCCTGCCAAGTCCGAACTGATAACAAGTAAAAAGCTACTTCCAGAAAATTACAAGGCAGACCATAAAATCATTCACAAAGAAAACCTGAAGCAAGATTAAACTTTGTCCCGTACAAAGTTCCAGCCGACAACACACCCACTTTTATCCCCTGTGGGGTGTGGCTCAATGACTCAGCTCACTCTCTGACCCTCCCACGCCTCCTACGTTGCTGCTCACGTTTCTTCCTACGATGCTGCTTAGGATCAAGCCAACATTCTTCCTCTTGACTCCCTGTCAGGGGCTGCTCCGATATGCCTTCCTCCTGATTAATCTCAGGCTGTTCCTCTCGGTTGTCTGATGAAACCTGAGGCATTATCAGGGAGGAAGGCATTGCCAGAGAGGAAGGTCCTGGGGCGGAAGGCATTTCCAGTTCCTCCTCCTCATCTTCCAATTCCTCTTCCTCTAACAGCACAGGCTCGGGAATCGGAGCCACAACACACAAGTGTTTTTCAGTTTTTATATTTATATATGGGAATCCCTGGTGTGTTAACATAACCTTTAACTTGCAGCAAATATCGCCCTATGGAGATTTCAGTCTAGAACAAATATTTTCAAGGGCAGAAATTAGATGGAAGGTTTTTTCTTTTTATACAAACTTTTATGCCAAAAGGTCTAGTTCATGCTATTAAATAGAATAAACTCAATTTTATAGACAGTATAATAGTATTTTGCTGTCAGCTTGCTTAATAATTTCCTATGAATCCTCCAACTTGTGCATATTCTCTTGTACAGAGCCACAGCAGCACAATTGTTATGGGAATTGAAGAAGATATTTACCAAAGCTGTCTTTTTTGAAATCATGCCCTTAAAGCAAAGGCTTCATTAAGTAAAATACACTTTTCTCTCCCTGAAGAAATTTAAATACACTAGGGCTAGTTCTTTACCAATTGAATTTTCAGTACTGTCAATTCCCTTGTTTTTGTTTGTTTTGGCTCTACTTTATTCCTTCCTTTCATTTGACTGCAGTTCATTTGACTCTCTGCAGTGAAAAATAGCTGTTCCTTTTTCTTTCACTTGTGTCTCTATTCAAGAATTTAAACTAGAAACATCATGCTCAGATCCTGGGTACTAGCTTGGATGGTTGCTGAAGGCTAGTTACATGTTCAAGCACATATCTGCCTAATGGCAGATATCTTGGACTGGCTATCTCTGGTAAAAGAGTCAGAGCTTCTATTTTATATCTATGTTTTTCTCTTGTAGGTTAATGAAATGACTGCTTTATCAGGAAAGGATTTCATCCTGCCTCCTTCCAAACTTATCCAGTTTGATCCAGGTGAGCTTTCATCAGTGGTTAAGATGATGGCCTAAAACCAGAGGCTGTGAATTCTAGTCCTGTCACAGGCACGAAAGACAGCTGGGTGATTTTGGGCCAATCGCTCTCAGCCTAACTTACCTCACAAGGTTGTTGTTGTGGGGAAAATTGGAGGAGGAAGAACAAGTACTGGGTTATGTTATCACCCTGAGTTATATATAAAAGTAAGAAAAGCAGGATAAAAATCTAATAAAATACATAAATAAAAGAAGGCAATGGATTGAGAGATGTAAATCAAAACCAAAGCAGACAGAGAAGAGAATCTATGGGGGGTTGGTATCCTTGTTTGAATTAGGAAATAAATTTCCAAGCCACAATGATGTCAACATTATAACATGTGCATCATGAAATCATTGTATAAATTGTAGGGTTATGTTCTTGAGTCAAGAAATCTGATACAAAAGCATTTTTTCATATCATGATGCGCAGGTCCTTTCATCTACTTTTACTGCTACTGCAGATGCTGCGATGACCCTCCTATACTGTGAGCCCTTGGGCAGTTATTCTGTGTCTCAAGCTTAGATTGATGGTCATCTGTGGTATTTGTCAGACAAAGGTAGTCTGTCCATGGTGATCGATGTGCCAATAACATTCCATGTGGATAATTATAATGGACAGAAAACTGCTCAGAAATTCAGCAGTTACAAAAAGGCTGCAGTTAGTTTATCTAATAAGATCCAGATATTTGGACTATGACTGCACAACAATTGAGCTGGCTTCTGTTCCAGAATTCAAAAATCAGGGGAAAGCCTTTCAAAGACCCACAGTAATGGGACCAGCATATTTTAAGGAACATTTGTTCCCGTATGAATTTATCTAATGTTTTGGATCTAGGTAACACCTTTCTATTTGTCCTGCCTTGTTGATCAATGTATGTTTAGTTGCTTTTTAAATTGAATCAAATGCTATAGCTGTGCCCTTGTCCAAGCAACTTTTATCACATTACTGATATATTAATATTTTTCTTTCTTCATTCTAAAATTACCAGATTTTTTTTAAAATGACTGGTGCTATGTTGGGAAGAAGGACATGGAGATCATAGCCATCATTAGGACCAATTCAATTTTTCCTGTTTTTCATAAGTGAATTCTTTAAGTAGTATCAACAGCTCTTTTCAATCAGCTACTGTACAATTTTTCAGCCCCCACCCCCAATTATTGAAAATGGGTTATTATTGATATCTTCATTTAAATAACTAGATTTATGAACTGGTATCCTTAATCTTTCTTTCAATTTTCTTCCATTTGAAAAACAATTTTGTTTTAATACTCTAATTAATAGCAATAGAACTTAGACTTATATACTACCCCATAGCATTATATAGCACTTTCTGGGAAGTTTACAATATATCAGCATATTGCTCTCAACAATCTGGGTCCTCATTTTACAGACCTTGGAAGGATGGGAGACTGAATTAACCTTGAGCCGGTCAGGCTCAAACTAAGAGTGAGCCGAATCAGTCTGCCATACTGCATTCTAATCATTGCCCCACTATTATTATTATTACGTTTAACTTTAAAGAAGTATTTATAACTGCATAAAACGCATGTCATTTTCATTTAGGTTAATTTAAAAATATCTCATCCTGACAATAGAGCAGAAACCCCCAATAAAAGGAACCGATGTGAAAAGACATATAGATACACATCTTTGCTTTCTTTTGCCCATATGCCAAAATGGTTACAGAGGGGCTGAAAATCCCTTCTTTCTTGTGACTAATCTATTGGAGATAAGTGTTGGGAGTACATTAGTCAAAAAATTGTCACTCTAAAACACTTCTTTCTGGAGGGCTGATACCGGCGTGCAGGATTTCCATACAATAGCAGCATTTTGATTCAATGATGGCAGCCTTGGGAAACTCAGGGTTAGCTGCAGCTCAAGTACTTACATCCCAACAGAAGAAGGAGATCTTAAAGATCTCAAGAAGGAAGTATTGTTCTTGGTCCTCGGGCCAGAAATATAGCCACCATCCTTAATCCTAAGAAGCACAGATGTGGAAAGGAGTCATTTAGGCCATCCAGTCTGACCACTTAAAGCATTGCAAGAGCTCAACATCCTTGACAAATGTTTGAACAAATCCAGTCAGTGAGAGCCCAGCTTTTCTGGTACTTGGGTTCACTATTAAGCTCTTAGGAAGTTTTTTTTTTTAAAGGCATCAATCAGAATTTGCCTTCCACATTCTTATCCTATCCTGTTGGCAGTTCCACTGTTCTTTTCCTCGATGAGAATCTGCAAATATATTTTGAGTGTTTGCATTAAGCCAAACTCAGTAGCGAGTAAGAGACTGTGATATGTATTTCTTCTTTTCAAGATTTCTTGGACTTTGTGGCTAAATCTTGCTTTGGTAGTAGTAGCCACTTTATCCGTTTTAGTTTTTGTCAGAATTTTTTTTTTTTGAGGGTGTATGTATGTGTGTATGTATGCAACGCATGGGATACTTATTTCTACTCAGAGCTGAACAGATTATTTGGACTTTCCAATCAAGATGCTGGCTTCTGTTCAAGGTTTTTGACAGACATACCTGGAACTTGGAACAGAGCTCTTGGTGATGGGTGATTGAAAATGACAATATTTCAAAACACGATTTGGTTCCTTGCAATTAAGATTTCAGAATGAAGAGTTCTCTTCATTTCTTTTTTAAAATTTACATGAAGAGCCAATCCTCCCCTCCTGAACTGCATGCTATTATCCCCCATCCATTTACCCTGTAGGAAACCAATCTTTGTTACTATTTGAATGGAATCATCAGCGCTTAGGAACAAATTTGATCTCTAGTTAGTGTTATTTCGGAAAGCCACAGGAGTCCAATCAATGGGCAGAAGCACAATAGAATTATACAAGCCAGTCTGTTATAGCTGTAGACATGTTAATTAATATATTTCTTCGACACCTAGGTTGATTGAAAAAGCAATTAAAGTGTAATTAAAATGTTTACTTCTGGTAGGAATGTCAAAGAAGATGTGGAATATAGCAATTACCTATGATGGATTAGAGGAAGAGGATGAGGTCTTTGAAGTGGCTCTGCTCTCCCCTGTGAATGCAGTTCTTGGCACTCGGACAAAAGCTGTAGTGAGAATTTTGGACTCGGAAGGAGGTATTTTCTTTTGATCTTCCTAATGAAATCTGGAGCAATTTTGGCTGAATAGTTGCTTATTTTTCAACACACCAATGTTGCTGCTAGCACCTTTGGATCAAAATACTTTATTTTTCTCTTAAAAGAAAGACAATAGCTTTGAGAGTTGCAGATCCCTTCTCTTCAGCTGAGGGAGAACAGCATGGAGGAATCAACAAACAACCACAAGAGCAGACACCATTGTCATCTACCCAAAAAACTGGAATCTGACTGATAAACAGATGAAGCTGTAGCTTACAGCTCCTGTTGCGGGACTTGCAATACCCCTTCCACTCTTTCTCCTGTTAATCATAGGGTAGTTGTGAGGTAATTCTGAGGATGCATTTTGGGAAGGAGAGGGCTAAATATCATTAGATAAATGTATTTATTTGTTAACAATCATATTTGAGACCACCCATTATATAAATCACCCAGCATATAATATTTAAAAGGAGCAAGTAATTTAAAAAAGTAATGAAAAGGCGGGAAGAACTTTAGGGTATTAACCAGCCCCATAGCTGCATGTTCATCGTGTATAGTATAGGTGCCTCAAGCAGGGCCTCGGAACCATTTCTTCATGCCTTTCTGGTGAGGAAAGGAAAAAAAGAAGCCTTGCCCTTTAAGGAATAGGCAAAGTTTTTTTCATTTTGGGGATTCAAGTTTCTGGGCTAGAAGAAATGCAAAATGATTTGGTCAGCTGCTTGGAAGTCAGAATCAGTTTATTAATAGAAAGGCAGATAAGAAATATCACAGCGTTTCTAGGATTAATCTAATAAGTGGGTAAGAAAGCCCCTTTCTTATACTTTTTCAGGTCCTTTGATTTGGAAGTGAAGTCTTTGATTTGTGTGTGTTGAATTCCTGTCTCTTTGAGATTGGGATCTTGGTTTTATGGTCCTGATCCCTTGTAGTTGCTTGTTTGCTATCATGGTTCCTTCCTGCCATGCCTTTTGGTTTGCTTTTCACAAGGTTTTTTTTATATAGCTTGCCATCCATTTGATTTCTATGGAAAAGGATCTTAGCTAGTTTGTAGGGTTTTTTTCTCTGTGTCTCATGCCTGTAATTTTCTCCTTCCTTTGTTGTGAAAAGTAAGCTGGCTCCAGCTATTTTAATAGCCTACTTGACAAAGGGTAGGGGCTGTTTTCCTAGAAGAGAGGAGAATCCTAACTTCCAACAATCCCTCATATATTTTTTTTCAAAACAGGTGAATGTTTTGACAAAAGTTTAAAAGGTGATCAGATCAGGGAGACTTGATGGGTGCTTTTAACTTTTCTGATGCAAAGGGGGAGGCATTGAAAAAAGAGGCAACAGAAGAAGAGAGGAGAATCGTAACTTCCAACACTGGAAAGCCAGGAGAGTGAGGGTCGACCTCAACTCAGGAGTGAGGGGTTTCACAGGGCAGAGGCAACAGCAGAGAAAGCTGTCCTCCTTCACCTCACCGTATAGAATTCTTTGGCTGATGTGGGGTCCACAACGTCCCTTCTCTGCCTGTGAGACAGTGAGACAGGCTGATGTAATGGGATGAAGATGGCTCTGTTGATAACATGGCTGCAGGCAGCCATGAAGGGCTTTAAATTGGACTTGAATTGGACCCAGAAACAGACTGGCATCCAATGCTGCTACACAGTAGAGATGCCACATGCACCATTTTTTGGCCATCCAAAATTGCTCCCTTTTGGACTATTGCCATTTTGTAAAAGATAAAGCTTCTGTACCAAATAAAGCCTCTGGATTTTGCACCAGGTAAACCTTCTAGATACTTTTCAAAGGTAAATCACATTACAAGAGTCTAAATGGGAGATGACCAAGTGAACTGAGCAGAGAACCTCCCTATCCAGGAAAGGGAATCACTGGCTCAGAATATAAACTGAGCAAAGGTCCTGGCCACCAAATTTTAAATAATGTTGAGTTTAGAGGTACTGCTGCATCACAATATACATCTTGATATGATACATCCATGGAGATTAACTTTTGAGATTAACTATTCTGCATAGCTGAATAGCAAGAGAAGTATGCCTACCCTTCTATCTTCAAAAGCATAAATATGCACTTTTTTATATCAAAAAAAGAGTGAGAGAGAGCAAACGCAGCATTTAAAACTAATAAGATAGGTCCTCCCAATTCGAATATATATTATATATTGTCTGTATAGAACCACGTTTAGAAATGATAAACATTTCAGCATAATGGGAGAGTCTTAACATTTAGTTGCCTATCCTAATATGGGTGCCTGCTTTTCCCATTCTTTTCATTCCTTTATCTTCACTTCTCAATACAGTTTAACTAGTTTTAATTTTGTACGCTGCCTCAGGCTGTTTATGGCTTGAAGGCAATCTAAAATATTTAGATAAATAAATCAAGACGTAGGCCAACAATGATTTGGCAAGCCAATGTGAACAGGCACAGGCTGACATTAAGAGCCAAACCTTCAAAGTTGTGAAGTTCTGTGAATCAAACAGATGGGGAGAGTAGAACTGACACTCCAGGAGGAAAGGCAAGATTTAAATTTTTTTTTAAAAAGGCACAGTATTTGTGTGATCATACTGCTACTAAAGTTTTAATGTGGCACTTACATCCACAAAGTTTGGGCACAAGCAGTTTTATTTATCACCTTTTTGAGAAATTATATTTTCTTCATCTCTCACATCAAACTTCTAAAATTGTTTTTCAGATTTCAAATTAAGCAGAGAAATAAGGACTATTTAAAAGGTCTAAATGAATATCAGACGAACTATCATCCCATTTTTAATGACAAGCTGTTTCATCATCCATATCAATGTGACCAATTCCCTGCTTTTATTATTATTATTTTTTTTAAAAAAAAAAGACTGACCATCTGCCATCTTTGCTTTTTAGGTCGATGCAATTCATTCCATTCCTCAAGCCAAAATATTCAGAACTTACGGATGAAAGAAAGTCTGCCTCCAGGTTCTCCTTCATCTTCCAGACACGGCAGTGTTAATTTGGAAAGAATCTTGCTACCCCCTTCCAAAGAGATGATAGCACAGAGTTGGGACAAGCCACCCAAATTCAGCTCAGTGAATCTTGTGAGGAACCGGCTACGGGTCATCGGAAATGGCAAATTAGTAAGTGTTGCCTCACGAACAGGCAAAAAGAAAGTGTTAATTCAAAGTTATATGTATGTTTTCATGAAAATCTCACTTGACTTAATACAAAAGAGACTGACTGTTGGAAAAAGGCATTATGCTTTAAAGTTACAGGTAATCCTTGAGTTACAGCTATAATGGACTCAAGTGTCAGAACTTTGAATCTGGTTCATAAGTGTTAAGTATGGTCGGTGGGTCCCATGAATAGACGAGACTTGAGTAGTGAACAACAGCTCTTTATTTTACAGATAGATTCTGAGACAGGGAGCCCTAGCGCGCGGCAGCTCTTCTTATAGAGCTGGCTGCAGCTAGGCAGACAATGACAACTCTTTGAGTTTGCCGCGCTTGGTTTCAGCCAATCGCGGCAAACCCTGTATGAGCCAATCAGGAACGTTCAAGCCAGCCAATCACGATCCGGCTTTTCTGGGCCAATAGGAACACAGGGTTTCAAGCCTGCTAATATGGAAAAATAAGTACTCTTTTTTTTAATCAGTTGTAACTTCTAATGGTTGCCAAGCGACCAGTTAAGGGCTATCTATATTGTCACTAGTGTGTAGGGCCAGCAATAGACATTTTGATGCCTTAAGCAAGTCATATTCTGGCGTCTGTTGTGGTTTTGCTCATGGCCTGATTTTGACCTCTGTTTCTTTTTTTCCTTTGAGTTATGAGGCTTACACTTAAGATTTTCCAGTCCCAATTTGTTTCTCGGATATTTTTACCCTATTTACACAGTATTTTCAATTACATCACCAGCTATTTTTGTCATATGGCAACAACTCTGCAAAATTATATTTAACCCTTGAGTGAGTGCATTATCTTTAACATTATGCGTTGTTTCTGCATTTTGCTTTTGTATTGTGCTTTTTAGGCCACAGTTTTGACACACCCTAAAGTTTTGGCATACTCCAAGGTCACTGTCTCCTTGACCTTAGCCTAAAGCCAGTTTTGCTATAAGTACTTCCTTAAAACACTTTATTCGTTAAACAGATTTCACTGTTTTCTCATGCATAACAAAAGCTGAAATAATTTAATCAGAAATGAGAATGCGTATTCTAGAGAAGGATTCTCCCACCACGCCAGCTTAAATCACTTGAGACTTTCAAGAAGAGATTGGACTGCCATTTGTCAGAAACGGTGTAGGGTCTCCTGCTTGGGCGGGGGGTTGGACTAGATGACCTACAAGGTCTCTTCCAACTCTGATTATTTGTTATCTGTTAAATTGTCCATCTTGATTATGTGGGGGGTTTTTTCTATAGAGTCCAGAGAGAAATATTCTCCCTGGGGGTTAAAAATTCAAAGAATGATAAAGATAAACTAAAGAAATCTTTTTTTAAAATGTAGGATTCTGCTGGAATTGTAAAATATTTTCCCCTTTATATATTAATGTTTTGTAGCAAAAAATATTCAGGTATAGGTTATAAAGCTGATTTGTTTGCTTTTCATTGCTTCCTTTGTAATGAGAAATTCCTCTAAGAATTGTAGAATAGAAAGCCAAGAGTACAAAACTAATAAATTAGAATCAGGGAAAGAAAGTTAGGTAAATGTCAATTTGTTTACAATAAAAGGCTTTATTTTTCCGGATGAATTTTGTATTTGCAATTCAAAAGATCTCTTCCTTTCCCCCAATTATTCAAAGGAAAAAGACTAACATGTTATGTTCTATGTTCTATGGCAAGAGTGGGATTCAAATTTTTCAAAAACCAGTTCTGTGGGTGTGGCTTAGTTGGTGGGCGTGGCTTAGTGGTCATGTGCCTGGGTGGATATGGCTTGGTGGTCATGTTATTGGCTGGGTGTGGCCAACTCAATATCATTCACATTGAGGCACGCATCTCCTTGCCTGGCCTCTCATGACTGTGGGGATGCTGCAACAGTCGTAAGTGTGAAAAATGGTCATAAGTCCCTTTTTTCAGTGCCGTTGTAAGTTTGAGTGGTCACTCCACACAAGCAAAGTACCAGCAAAGGAGGGGAAAAAACTCCAGAGAAGTTCCTGAGAGAGGAAGTCTAGTCCTGCCAAGAATGTAATAAGGGTTAACGGAGAGGCAGTTTCTGTAAGCAACACCAGAATGTTTCTTTTCTGCCTCCCTTACAGGATTAGTCCAGTAATTTCTTCTAACAACCGGTTCTCTAAACTGCTTAGAATGTTAACAACCGGTTCTAGCGAATAGGTGCGAACTGATAGAATCCTACCCCTGATCTACGGTCAATACTACTAACTACCTTGGGAAAATATACAAATTATATTTTGCTTCTGTTATTCAGCTACATTTCTCTCTTTCCTTTTAGATTCGCCCCTCTTTTATATTTCAAAATGGCACAGATGAGTTTTTCAAAGTAAGAGCCTTATTGAGTAACAAGTTCCTTTTTTGTAATATTTATTTAGAGCTCCGTCACATAGAATACTTGATGAATTCAGAATACACATCATTTTCTGTGATGTAAAAAATGTTCAGTATAGACTTAATTCTATGTATTTTCAGTTTAATTGGATTAGAAATGATGGTGGCAACTATTTAAACTGCCTTGGTCAATGTTAGGTGTGAAATAGGGTAAAGTTGACTATGTAGGTTGAATCTTAAGAGCAAAAGCAAGGAGATCTAAGAAGAACTGTTTTAGTGCAAAATATGTTTGTGAATGATGAGTGCAAGAATGTTTTCCATGCTCATTTTTCCATTTACCCTCGTATGCCCAATAAGTTTCCTTTGCCAGAATATAGTATTGGAAACAAATTAGGTAAAAATAGAGAAAAAGAGGATAGGAGAATCTATCGATTCACTCTGCATGTTTTGTTTGTTCTCAAAAATTATTGCTCACATTATATATGACTGGAGCAGCTCTACTTTAAATATTATTCCCACAGATATTGAGTACTTTTGTGTCATTGATATTTGTATATCCAAACCATTTTTTAAAAAAAAAATTCTGTGAATTAAATGCCTTTGGAATTAACTGGTGTGTGATTTTCTTTTCTATCTCTTACAAAGTACCATGGGATGACAGGGCTAAAAGTAGATGAGGACAATCCTTTGTCTAGAGAAACCAAGATGGGATCTGTATCTCTAAGAAGCCACAGAGAGCCAAGAAAAAATGCAGCTTCCTCCAAGCAAATGGAAGTTCTTCAGGCAGACTCCAGCATTCGGGTATGTTCCTGATGAATTTGCACTTCCAGTGGAGGAAGATGTCACCTTCCAGAATTAAAGTTCCACACTGGCTGTAGGCTGTCCAATGGTGATAGAGCCAGAGGAAGATAGGGTTCCGTCTCTCTGGTGAATTTTGAAACATTTTTAAAACCGGAAGTTTGACCATTTCACCTTTATTAGATGTGTATCATTCTTAATTGTTGTCATTAAGGTATGACAACAATAAAAAGTAAAACTATATTTTTTTGTGATGGAATCTAGTAAGCAAATGGATCCCCAGGAGGGAGGGGGTGCATTCAAAAAGAGCAATGGTGGGTATTCAGCCGGTTCACACCAGATCGGGTGAACCGGTAGCAAGGATTTGGCGTGGGTCGCCGAACCAGTAGTAAGTTCTGGCTTGGCCACACCCCCAGCCTGGTCGCCCAGTCACCACTGGCTCCCTTGCCCTGCCCACCCGATGCTCGCTCACCCCGCCTGCCTGATGCTCGCCCTTAAAGGTATTTCTTTTGTTCCCTCTCGACAATCAGCTGTTCATATGATCAGCTGTGCCGGGATTCCCCTTGCTGAGGCCCAGGAAGGCAAAAAATAGAGGGAGGGGCTCAGCCCCCCTCCATTTTTTGCCTTCCTGAGCCCCAGAGGAGCCTTCTGGGAGCAAAAACACCCCCTTAGAGGCTCTCTGAGACCAGGAAGGTCCCAAAACAGAGCTAGGGGGGTGCTGTGTGCTCGCTCCAGGTTTTGGTTTTTTGTTTTTTTTCTTTCTTATCCCCAGAGGAGCCTTCTGAGAGAAAACCCCTCCCTAGAGGCTCCTCTGAGGCCCAGAAGGTCCAAAAAGTGGAGGGGCTGCAAAAAAGTAAAAAAAAAAAAAAGCCACATCTACCCAGTCACATGGTCACGCCCACCTAGCCATGTCCACCAAGCCACGCCCGCAGAACCGGCCGTAATATTTTTTTTAATCCCACCACTGACTAAGAGGCAACTCAGCCCAGATCTTACATGTGAAAGAAAGAGGGTGAAGACAGACCTTTCCTATCTGTTCACAGAGTATAGGGTATAAGCAGATGGTAGAGTACTCAATCTGTCTAGAGATGTGAAAACAATAAAGAACTTAGCTTGGAAGAATCACCATGCTTGGTTTGGGGGCCTGACGATATTGTACGCTTAATTCTGAAAGAGGTTTTAAAATGATGAATTTCCTCAATGATGTCACTGATGTAACACCCATCAATAAAAATAGGTAAACGTAATTTTAAAAATAAACAATGAACAATATAGAACATTAATATCTCAAGTGTTTTCTGTTTCAGAACACTCATTTATAACTGTTGTTTACTTCATAAAGGTCTTACTCATTTTCAGGTCGGCAGCCTTTCCTTTCCAAATAGATGCACACCAAATTTGAAGGGTCTCTTGTATTTTGAAGAAAATATACAGAAGATGTTTCTGTGTAATGGTACCGCCTGGACATTATGGAACTCCTCAAACAAAGTAGGGATCTCTTTTTCATGTGTGTGGTATTTTTTCTTTTAAATTCACCACTGGCCAAACATATATGTTTTACAACTGATAAGGAATACAGATGAGGATCGGAAGGAATCTGGTTATCCCTACGTCTGGAAAGAGAATACTTTGTACTTGGGGTGTTTTAACTTTTGAGAAATATAAAGCCAAATGTTATTGTAACAATTTGACCCCACATCCAACTTTGAAGGGGGAAAAATGTAAATGCACTCATTATCAGAATGCTTGAGAATGCAGGTAGTCCTCAATTTACAATGGTTTGTTTAGTGACCATTCAAAGTTACAACAGGACTGAAAAAAAATGACATTTGCAACCGTTGCAGCATCCCCCGTGGTCATTTGACCATATTCAGACACTTGGCAACTTGTTCATATTTATGACGGTTGCAGTGTCCTGGGGGCATGTGATCCCCTTTTGTGACCTTCTGATAAGCTAAGTCAATGGAGAAGTCAGATTCATTTAACAACGGAGTTACTAACTTATTAGCTGCAGTGATTCACTTCACGACTGTGGCAAGAAAGTTCCTAAAATGGGGCAAAATTCACTTAACAAATGTGTCCGCTAACAACAGAAATTGTTGGGCTCAATTGTGATCATAAGTCAAGGAATAGCTGTACTGGAATTTATGGAAACATCGTTTGTGAATTGAAGGCCATTCATTGATACAATAAAAATATAACTCCAGGAAGATGTATGTCATGAGGGAGCACTTTTGACATGCTATAAAGATGATGCTCTAGCACAGGGGTGTCAAACTCTATTTCACTGAGGGCAACATCAGGGTTGTGTTTGACCCCGGAGGGCTGGGGTAGTGTGGTCAGGGTGGGCGTGACACGGGACTCATGTGAGGGCACCTGTGGTGGCCAAGTTCTAAGGCAGGACTTCCCCAAGACCCTCCCTCCCTCTCATTATATCCTTCTTTCTTTTCTTTTTCCTTCCCTTTTCCTTCTCCTTTCTTCTTCCTTCTCCTCTTTTCTTATTTTTCCTTCCTTGCTCTTTACCTATCTTTCCTTCTTTTTCTTTGTCTTTCCTCTTATTATTGTGGTTAGATAAATTGAATGTGCGTTACGAGAACAAGTAAAGGCAGAGTGATATCTTCAGTGACCGAGTTATGAGCATGCAGAATGCATACGTTATAATTTAAAAAACTCTTCCCCACATGGTACAATAATTAAGCTTTTGAGTGGTCCTGTATTCAGGAATTATTATTATTGCCAAGCAATAGGCAGTATTTATGTTTCATTTATAGCCAGATGCCATCAGAAATGCAATAGTAGCCAAATTCATAGTTTAGAACAGAAATGACCCAATTAACCAATATTTTATCTTTCCCAAGCCCAATTCTGAAAGGAGTCAATCACTTCCTTCGAGGTGGACAATTTAGCAAGTCATTCTGAACTTTTTAAAACATGCTTTATTCCAGGATATTAAAATGAAAACATGTCAGTCAGGATGGACCTATCATGATGGAAGATGCTACATCCTAATCACTCAGCCAAAAGCCACATGGGCAATTGCTGCCCAAACTTGCAAGAAACGGTAGGAACAAACTTATTTGTACCTAGCTTTATTTATTTATAAGACATTTATCCCACTTTTATTATTTCAATAGCAACTCAAGGCAGTGAACATACAGTATATAATACTCCTTCTTCTTCCTATTTTCTCCACAATAACAAACTGTTAGGCGCAGGGGTGGGATTCAAATTTTTTAGCAACTGGTTCTGTGGGCATGGCTTAGTTGGTGGGTGTGGCTTGGTGGTCATGTGACTGGGTGGATGTGGCCAACTCAACGTCACTCACATCAAGGGGCGCTTCTCCTCGCCTGGCCTCTCATGACAGTGGGGATGGTGCAACAGTCTTAATGTCAAAAATGGTTGTAAGTCCCTTTTTTCAGTGCCATTGTAACTTTGAATGGTCACTAAATGAACTGTTGTAAGTCAAGGATTATCTGTATAAAAATACAAAAAGCTGCTTTGCTTGCAAAAAGCTGCCCTAAATACCAATCATTAGATTAAAAATATCTGCAAGCCAGAGTTACAAATCAGGTAGGGTAACAGAGCAGCTTGAGGAATTGAAATAGTCAAAATGCAGTGATAACTATCAGCAGCCAACTCTTGCTCATAAGGTGAAACCCTTTAGCAGAGAGGTCATTTAAGCTCTCCAGAAAGAGCCCACCTAGGAAAAGCAATCGTTAGATCCATTTGCACCACTTAAAGACACCAGCTGGTCTCAACTCACCCCACAAGATATCCTAAGGCCGTGATGGCAAACCTATGGCACGCATGCCACAAGTGGCATGCAGAGCCATTTGTGCTAGCACGTGAGTCACAGACAAACTTACCTCACCGAGCATGCGCATGCCTCACAGTTGATTTTTTTCGGTTGATTAGAGGCCTTTGTTGGCCTCCCAAAGGCTTGGAAAAAGCCTCTGCAAGGTTTTTTCAGGCCCGTTTCATCACTTCCTGTAAACCAACTGAATTATAGGCCCATTTCACCACTTTCTGTAAACCAGCCAAAAAATCAGCTGTGAGGCACAGTGCAGGTAAGGGGGTGGCCGGGGGGGATTGCGCACATATGCGCAGGGAGTGTGGGGAGTGCGCAGGGAGCATGTGTGTACAGGGAGCATGTGTGCACAGGGAGCGTGGGGGTGCGCATTGCATTCTGGGTGCTGGTGAGTGAGTGTGTGCGCGCTAGCACACACAATTTTTGACACAGGAGCCCAAAAGGTTAGCCACCACTGTCCTAAGGAAATCATCCAGATTTAAGGAAAGGTCACATGCCCCCCAGAAAGGCAGTAAAAAAGTCAGTGCCAAACTTGCATCCTTCCTCTTGGAAGTACACCCCAAAAAGATGCTACCAGATACCACTAAAGCAGTGAAGGAAGAACCCCTCCCCAGATAGAAAAAGAAACCATGAGGCAGGAAAAAAATCAAACACAATAGAAATAATTAAATCACAACAGTAGCTGTTGCTTGTTAAACCAATAACCAGAACAAATAGACACAGGAACTAGCCAGATTTCTCAACCCAGTTTCTTTTCAGGAACAGAGATTAACCTTTTTCCTTCCAAACAAAGCTGAATAGGGGAAATTATCCTATCAATAAACACAGGATTAAACATCACCAAGGACAGAATTAAACTTCACCAGAAGCCACTTTTAGACCAAAACTCAGAAAGGATATGTAAACTCACATTTGAAAGTCAATCTTTCTAGCTAGCCAAGAAGTCTTGTTGAATGTCACTCATCTTGGTTCCTTGTTATTAAAATGGTTCTTTCCACAGCTCTGCTTCGTTAATCAATTATTTCTTCAAAGTGCTGTTCATTGCGTGCTGGCTGAAATATTTCCAGGGGAGTATTTCCTCCCAACAGCAGTATAAAAAGCTTAAAACAACCCTTCCCCTTTAAGAAAGCACCAGGAAAGGGGGAAAAAAACCCACCTTCGGAGACAGTAAGTCTAGACATACTGCCAAGAATGTAATAAGGGTTTAAAAAACAAACAAAAGGAGATTTCTTCTAACAACCAGTTTTCCGAACTGCTTAGAAAGTTAACAAGGGGTTCTATAGAATCGGTCAAAACCGGTATAATCCCACACCTGGTTAGGCAGATTGGGTTGAGAGAATGACTGGCTGAAGGTTACCCAGCTGGTTATTTATGGCTAAGGCAGGACTAGAACTCACAGTTGCCTGGCTTCTAGACTTTTCATAATGCCCAAAAGCAGTTTTCTGAGACAGCCGACTTTTTAAACTAACCATGGTTCAGCTTATCTCTTATGGAAGATAGAATAAAACAATGAGGCATTTAGCAGCAAGAAATTTCAGAAGTATGTCTGAATCATTCAGGTCTGGTTTGAACCAAAGCAGCTTCTTGAATGAGAAGCAAAATGTTTCCAAAGAAAAAACAAAAAAGTTTAGTTGCGTTTCGGAAAAAAATCTTTGGGTTTTCAGAAATATGTAAAATCTAAATCTTCCAGCTATTGTACTGGTAGAAATGTCCTCGGGAGACTAGCTCAATAAACTCAGTCTTATTAATGTATTTGACAGATAAGAAGAATCATTCCAGTTCAAATTAAATGAATTTATGATGAGACATTTTAAGGCGATAAACTTTAATCTGATCTATAAACTTTTCCTATAGAAGAGGCATTTGTATACATATTACACACACATTGAAAGAGACACACTTATACATGCAACCAAACATATTTTTCTTTTTATGTAATTACTTACTGAAGAGTTGAAGAAACATAACCAAGCAAGAAAAAATACGTATTTTAATCACCTGACAGTATTAAGCCAACTTGTGCTGAATTTATGAAAAATAAGTTTGAAATAGTTAGAACATCTTTGTATATGATTAAGCCACCATACAGGTAATCATCACTTAATGACTGTTCAAAGTTACAATGGACTCCCCAAAAGATACCTGTGACCTGATTTTGAGGCTCCAATGGCCACATCCCTCCCTTCCCCAAAGACACATAATTGCATTTTGGGTCTTGGGCAACTGGTCCACCTGTACAGCTGTTTTCAGTGACCTATGATCACATGATTGTGATTTATTTTATTTTATTTTTTTGCTGATTTCTAAATGTTTTACTTACCTTTGGATAAAACAGATTTACTTAATGACCTCATCATCTGCTTAATGACTGCCACAGAAAAGGTTGTAAAATTGGGCACTGTACCATGGTGGCCTACTTAACCAGTGCAATGACTTATGGCTATAAGTCCAGGCTCAATTATGGTCATAAGTCAAGGACATGTTAAAATTTCAGCATGCTTAGATGAAATAAACAGTTTGCTGCTTATATATAAATGTATTTGTAGATAAAAAGGCATGCAGAAAATGCCTTTTCAAAAAGAATTCCTAAAGCTCTTATTAATGACTTGTCTATTGTTAAACTGCAAGTAATTAGTGCATTTATTATATCCTTATTATATCTTGATGAGTGAGTGGTGTGGGGGCCTAGGGGTGAAGATGCTCCCCTCCCACTCGGAAGGTTGAGAGTTCCATCCTAGGTAGCAACAGATGTTTCTCTCTCAGGGTGCAAAGAGAAAATATCTGCTGTGAACTCCACATAGGCATCAGGAAGGGGATCCAGCCAGTAAATGCTCAGCTCCATTCAGTCACCCCCAACTCTATCCTCGATTAAGGGATTACAGTGTTGTATAAAGAAAAAAAATATTGATGAGTAACAGTATGAGTATCTCCTCTGATTTGTTTTTTTTTTTAATGTCTTATTTCTAGGTACTATGGAGATTTAGTAAGTGTGGCTTCCAAATCACACATGCGCTGGCTCTGGAATTTCAGTGGAAAAAGACCTTTTTGGATAGGTAAGGTATTCTTACAATTGTCTGAAATTTCCTTATGAAAGGTGCAGAATTCTACAAGGAATCCACCCGAGCAAATCCTTTCCTTACAACCATTCATTTAGTGACCATTACAAAGTTACAAGTCCCAAAAAGGGACTTACAAATAGTCCATGCACTTATGACCATTGCAGCATCCCCATAATCATGGGATCAGCTACCTTGCTTAGCAACAGAAATTCTGGTGTCAAAAGTCGAGGAATACCTTTAAGCATCCCTAACAGAAGGGGTGGGATTCTACAGGTTCTCACCTATTCTTTAGAACTGGTTGTTAACATTCTAAGCAGTTCAGAGAACCGGTTGTTAGAAGAAACTACTGGCCTAATCCTGTAAGGAAGGCAGGAAGGAAACATTCTGGTGTTGATTACAGAAACTGCCTCTCCGTTAACCCTTATTACATTCTTGGCAGGACTAGACTTCCTGTCTCTGGAATTTCTCTGAGGTTTTCCCCCCCTCCTTTGCTGGTACTTTGCTTGTGTGGAGTGACCATTCAAAGTTACAATGGCACTGAAAAAGTGACTTATGACCATTTTTCACACTTGCAATTGTTGCAGCATCCCCACAGTCATGAGAGGCCAGGAGAGGAGATGCGTGCCTCGATGTGAGTGATATTGAGTTGGCCACGACCAGCCAATAACATGTCCACCCAGTCACATGACCACCAAGCTATGCCCACCAACTAACCCACTCCCACAGAACCAGGTTTTGAAAAATTTGAATGCTACCCCTGCCTCTTAGCCCACCTAAGTCTTCCTGAGAGGTTTGGAAATGTAAATTTCTGGCTGCTCAGTTTTCTAACTTACACTTCTGTCCTTGGGATACTTAATAATTTGACCACTCTTCCAACTACCTCCATATTCCCATCAACACTGACAGGGCAAACCACTGGTATATAAAATGAGAACAAACTCTTACTTCCTTCTGGCACTGATGATGTTACCTACTTTAGTAATGAAACATCTGCTGGAAAACAACTAATGATCACATACTTCTATTTTTTTGAGTTTTTCCTTTGTCTCCTAAAAAGTAATGGAAGAATGGTTCTTAGTTAGATGGTAGAAAGACAGCCAGAAATCAATAGATATAATCAGTTGCAGCAGTTGTGTGCTTACAGCAACTAAATCTTCAGACATTTTTCTAGTCTAAATACCAGCAGAATCTATTTTCACAACAAAATGTTATTGTCCATGGAACAAATTTATTCTGGAAGAGAGAAAAATCTGAAAATTATTGGAAAATCTGTCATGTGGAAGATCAGATAGAGCTAATAAGACTTCATTAAAATGCTTCAATCACTTGTTCTCAGACTGTCTGTTTATACATGTAATGCATTCTAGGTTTGAATGATCAACGAAACCCAGGTCAGCTGACATGGAGCAACAGGGAACATGTTATTTTCACAAACTGGAGAAGAGGCCCACCTCGTCTTTCAAAGCAAAGGAGGAACTGCATTTTAGTACAACAGCAAGGAAAATGGCAAAGAAAAGACTGTCGGAAGGGCAAAGCGTACAGTTATATATGTTCCACAAAGTTGTGAACAAAATCGATAGTTCGATACCTACTTGGCCTTCTATGTGATAAAATGGTTTTATTTTCAGGCAGTTGGAAGTGTTGATGGAACTTATAAATGAACAGTTGCTTGGTCCATTTGCAAAAATTCCTATGTGAGAAAAGGATTCAAATGTGATGCAAGATTTTGTTTTCTGCTTGCCATCCTATCTTCTCTTGCTCTCCTGTGTTTGTGGTACAATGGCTATGTGTCAAGAATCAAATGTATTGGTTCTAGAGTTCATTTCTGTCTCTTTCAAGAGATCCTATATATAAAGGTACTAAAAAGGCTAAATGGAAAGAGCTTTGAGTTGAGTATAGACATTATATCATGTGCTCTTCACCATCTTTCTTGGGTAGGACGTTTCATCCACCACAACTGTTATTTAAAAATTTAGGCAATATCCTGCTCTTCAACTTGGTCAAATGAGACTGATTGCAGATATATTGAACGCACACAAAAAAAGAACATTATGTCACTCCATAATGCCATGCCCATTTTATAATACCTGGATGTAAACTTCCAACAAATGTCAAACATTCCTTTAACAAAATTGCATCATATTATTCTGTGATAAATTTCTGTATTTGAGACAAATGTAGGAGCCATGGTGGTATAGTGGTTAGAATGCAGTATTGCAGGCTAACTCGGTCTACAATCAGGAGTTCAATCCTGACTGGCTCAAGGTTGATTCAGCCTTCCATCCTTCCAAGGTGAGTAAAATGAGGAGCCAGATTGTTGAGTAAACCACTCAGTGAATGCTGTAAAGCACTGCGGAATGTAAGTCTAAGTGCTATTGCTGAATGTCAAAGGAACTTTCCAATTCTCATGGTAACAAATTCAAATGTGTTCCCTTTAAAATAGACTATGAGTTATGAATATAAATTCTGAAGCATTGTAGGATTTCCCTGGCCATCTATGTTAGTTGATTTCCCAACAGAAGCCTATTAACTTTTGCTATCATCCCTGATCAGCTCTAAGCTTTGTTTGCATGTAAATTTCTCTGGCCTCTCTTTGATAGTTTCTTTTCCTTTCCTTTCTTAACATTGGAGACCTTCTGAATGTCCATTCAACTTTTTGCAACTTTGTGATGTGTCGAGACTCCAGCCAACCTAGTCAGGAATTCTGGATGCTGCAGTCCAACACATTTTTAAGGTGCTAGACTGGGCCAGACAAATTTGAGAAGTTCTACACATTTCCCAATCCTCTTGTGTGGATGCTTGCTGGGAAGAATTTTCCTGCAAGTGGGAGGTAGAATTTGAAAACAAAATCCAATTGCACATAAAATATAGATAGGAAGAATATATGTAAAGTTCTTATAGACTGGAATGTGTTGTAGAATGTGCAAAGTACACTTGGAAATCTACCTGAGTTATTATAAAAGCCTGGAATTGAATAAATATTGTGACAAATTCTGAAAAGGGAAAAAGAGATGTACTAACAAATCATTTTTTAAAAAAACTCCCTGCAATTCACTGACATGTCAATAATCTTCTAATACACCCTTGTATGTAACAAGAAACTGCTTGTTGGAAAAATAATGTAATTTTTGGAAGTCCAATTTTACCTTGCATTATTCCATATTGATAAGTAGCTGAAATATTTATAAATATAACAATCCATTATGGGCACATAGTTTTCTCCCCTTTTTTAGTGGCACTAAAAATAGACACCCCACCCCCTGCATTGTGTATTTCGAGGGATAGAATGAATTTAGATAAAATAGTACCTTTACTGCTGTAGGTTTGGTTTTATTTGAACTTAAAAGGTGCCAATCTACTTTTGTACCTTAAATGGCATGTGTTGTGTGCTGTTTTCTACTGTAATATCTAAATTGAATGTATTAATAAAAATAGCATTGAAGATAGCTGAAACAGTATGCGTTTTTTTCCAGAAAAAAAAAATTGTGTTGATGAAAATATATTGCATCAACAGCTACACAGTGAAAACCTCAAACTACCCATAGAAAGGAAGGGAAGGCAATTTGCAACACAGGTGGTGTTTGTTCCTATTTCTGCCTGGTCTCCTCCCACACACCAAATGCACACGCACACCCCACATGTGGCTTTTCCAATATAGATTGTCCAGGTGCATGATTGCCATATTCAGTCACCCAAACAATTGCATGGAGTTGTTCTGTTTGCTTAAAAAGAAAGAAAGGGGAAGTTGGAGGGGGGGCACAGGTAGGGGGAATGAAAAGAAAGAAGGCTGAGGACACTTCAAGTCATCATCATTATTTTCCTCTGTAAATCAGTTTCAACATATTTACCACAGAGAACCAACAGAGTTCTCTGCCTTCAGTTTACAACAATGCTTTTACTTCCAGAACCCAGAAAATGCCTCCTTTCTGGGGCAGTGCAAGTCTCTTTTTGTTTTGCTACTTGATTGCTTTGGGCTGCAAGGATGATACTGACTATCAGGAACTTATTTGCCTCTTTAATTCTGAAGATAACAGTTTCTTCGGCCATTACATCACCTCTATGCAATGGGACGGGAGTGACAGAGCAGTAAGCCTTATAGGATGTACACCAGATGTTTATTTGCAGGGATGAGAGTAGCAACATTTGTAAAACTCCTCTTCCTTTGTGTCCTGAGTCTCAATGCAGGTCTGTCTCCTTCCTCTCAGGATGGCTATTCAACAAAGAAAACAACAACTATGCAAATATGTATTATGGTGTTATATGTCTCCCAAAGATGTTTATTCATTTCAGTCTGCATCCAGCAAAGCCTTGTTGTAGCAACTTACAACATCCAGACTGAAATCTGTAACAAGGTCCGAGACAGACTCTTAAACAATGCAACAGCTTTCTTTGGACTCACTGCTTACCAAGATTGTTATTATCTCTGCTTCCATCCCTGTATGTTGTATGTGTCCATGAGAATAGAGGCAGTCTCTTCTTGCACCTAGCTGTTGAAAGAATATATATCATAATAAAATGAACCTTTTAAGGAGACTCTTTTCCCCTATGTGATATCTCAGATGGAAACATACATTTCCACTTTTAGAAAAACCAGCTGTGCTTTTTACTTGCCATTATAGAACGTGATACATGTTTTTTTTTTAAAGACTTAGGTTGTAGGTCAAGCAATTAGAGAGCTGAATGGCCAATGATGTTTTCAATGTTTTGAATCAAGAAGAGTTATGAAATGATGAACAATTATGCCATAATGTGGAAAGACATAGGATCCAATCCCTTCTGGTGAGGGTTATTGTGATTTCAGTTTGAACAGCAGTAACTTACAGCCAAACAATCTTTGAAAGTTCATATATGAAAACACTACTGAAGTCTATAAACATTCTGAATGCTGTTGGTGCAGCATGAGTAAGATACTTTTATCAGTGCTGTTTTTTGCGTATAAACTATAATATAAAATCAACGTTCCCATTGTGCCCACCTAGCTGTTAACTGTGGCTTTTTAGAAAAATGGAATACAAATACTCTTCATTTTATTGAACCTTTGTGGCAAACCCATTTCTACAGAAATAGATAAATTTCTATGACTATGATACACATGGAGTACCATAGTAGTAGTACCAAGTAGTAGTACGAAGGGTAGATGTGGGCATTTTTCTTTTACACAGAGTGTAAAATGGTTGATGCAAACCAATGGGCACTTTTTTTTTTGAGTCATCCATGATTTACGAACAGTTCATGTACAAACAAGGTTGAGAATAATACCTACTTATCAGAAGGAAGACAATACTTAAAGTCTGCACTCTGGGGACCTCCATGCACTAATACTTTCCCCTTGAGCTCTGTACACATTCTGGATGCTGTTGACATAACATGAAAAGTATACTTTTTGCTTATAAACTGTAATGGTGATCTGAAAAGCACCCCTGCCATATAATTAACTATTGTAAAACTTAAAAAGACCTAACTTGCTTTTAAAGAGCCTTAAGTAATAAGTACAGGTTGAACTAGAACATTTCCAAAATCCTAAGGGTTTTAAAAATCTGAGCAGTGAGAAACTGGCTCATTATTTTAATTAGTATTTGCATTTTTCAAAAAGTATGTCCTCTATTAGTCTTTACACTGTGTAATGAAAAAAAAAACTAATTGGATCCATTCAACATGGCATATAACTTGACTAGCTGTCATCCAGCTGTTATTTTCAAATGATAAACTTTCATCTTACTAAGAAATAAAATTAAACTTTGTTGTAATGTAGACCTACAAACATAGTTTTCCCCGTGTTATTGTTTTGAATCCATAATGCTTTATGGTGACTTGGGGCCAAATGTATCAGGTAAGTTAATATGCATCTAAGAACTTGCCCACTAGCTAGACACAGCTAAACTTCTAATCCAAATATTCAGAGTGATTCCTACTGGAGAAAGCAGATGTAACTAGAAATGCAAACACGAAACACCCCCTCCCCCAGCAGGACAAGCTAACTTTATCTTTGTTAGAGGCTGAGGTTAATGAATGTTAATGGGTATCTCTGATTAGCCTTCCCCTCTTCCCCCCTCCCATGCTCCACAGCTGGAAATGAGTACTTTAGGCTTCCTTTATAAACGCAACCATCTTCCTACTGCCGTTTTTTTTTTCTGAGCAGAAGGGAATTGAAGGAGAAAGACAACCGCCAAGAATAATGCTTTTACTATTGTTTCAGATACTGTTGGTTTCATGGCTTGTAAAAGCAGAGCACAGAGAAGAAATGCAGCAGAAAAATTCCATACGTGAAATGCTCACCAAATATTTAGGGGAATTTGAAGGCGTTGTGAGGAAACCTGAGAGGCCAGTGGTATCGTTGGCAGAAATGAAAAGCAAACAAGACTTGCCACGAGGTCCTCGTTTTATGTTCCCAGATACAGTTAAGGAAGAAGTGGCTGATAATTTGGGAGGTTGGGCTTCTGCAAACATAACCCCATCCTCTATGTATCCAAAACACCTACCTTCTCGCCCACAGAACAAGAGAGATGCAGCAGCAGCCTTCAGAAAAGATGCCAAAAAATTCTGGGACCTTTTCAGATCAAAGTCCAAGTCAAGATCTGAAGAGGTGATCCTTCCAATCAAGATGTCTGAGATTTACCAGGAGGTTTGCAACAAGCTTCCTTTTTCTCAGGTAAAGTGACTGCCACAAATATAATACTTTCCTATATTTTATTTTAATTAGAAGTAGGCCCTAATATACTAAATCATTCAACCTTGGGAATAGCTCTGGGAGATAGCTATTTCCCCCCATTTTTAGAAGGAGAGCTAAAATAAAGGTGGTAAAAATTTACTTAGCTCCTAAGGTGAAAACAGAACATGGATTTTTAAAATACATATATTTGTGGGTATCTAGTAGCAAGTGGATTTTTACAGCTCAAACCTTGTAGCTAAATTGCAATGAAAATGGTTTGCTGGTGTTCTTAAATCAGTCTGATATCTGAAATAGTAAAAGCATAGAAAACCAGAATATTGACAGCTTTGGGCTGGAAATTTCTGTTACAGTAGACTTCAGGTTTGTTCTACTGAAATTGCAAAAAGCTGAAAACAGGTGTTTTGACTTGCATTCTGCTGGAGAGTATTTTCAGAAAATTCTTGGGCAATAACTTTGAGAAATTTGTAGAAATCTCTGTATATTTCAAAGAGATAGCAAACAGTTTTCCCTTTTAATGGCAAAGACAGTAGTTATGGTTTAGTATCTAAAACAATCCCCCCCATTTTATTACTGGTTTTATCCCTAAAGGTGGCAGGAATACGTTTGTTTTTATATTATTGGCAATTTTTATTCTACCATAGTACTATGGCAAGTACTTTAACAATGTGTTTCCTTTCAGAGCATTACACATGAAAATTGTGACAAAGTAGTGATACAAAACAACGTGTGCTTTGGGAAATGTAGCTCTTTCCACGTTCCTGGTGTTGATGATAGCATTTATAGCTTCTGTTCCATCTGCTTGCCTACCAAATTCTCCATGAAGCATCTGAAGATGAACTGCACCATGTTTAATTCAGTAAATAAGATGGTTATGATCGTTGAAGAATGCAAGTGTCAAGTTCAGAATATGGAAGAAATGGGACCAGGGTTTCTACACCCAGCTCTGCGTTCGAATGAGCCTTAGGACAAATGAACCTGTTGAAATGACTTGATTTTTCAAATGAATCTGTAGTTGCTAAGGGCCAAGAGTACTTGATAAAATCTTTTTTATAATAGTTTGCATCTGCCTTGCTAGCTCTGGTTAGTTTATATGAAACAGTACACTCCAAACATGATTGAAGCTTGATCATTCATTAGCAACAATTTTAATTGTCTTCATACATCTTTTTAGGGGTATATTTGAGTATGTTTTATGTACATTTTTAGAATAAAAGTATGATTCTGATAAATGTGGAAACAAGACACTAATAGTATTGTATTGTCACAATTATTGTATTGTAAATGTCACTATTGGAGTGACATTTAGTAGCAAGGCAAAGCAAAGCTTTTCCCTTCTGCACCATACCAGTAGTATTCAATGCATAATGTGAGTATTTATCATCCACAATAAAACTGGAATACTGTCTTTCTATATACTTTGAATAAAAATGTTTTTTTTTAATTTATGGACTGAAATTAATGATCTCTTTCACAGTATGTAAAGCAACTTTAGCTTCAAGGCTTTTTAACACTTATTTTTCAAATTCACGGTTTTACTAAATCATATGCATTTTTCAATTTTGAAGCTTTTTGGATATATTGTGGCCTCCATTCGGCTACAATAGGGACCCCACAAGCAATATAAGCTTAAGCTGCCTTTACCTCTCCATCTTTGTGTATGCATATTTGAATTTCAAAGGAGCAAAAAAAAAATTTTAAGATCCCTGAATTGG